ATCCAAACCATGGTGTTTTCAATACCCTCATATGCATGTGAACGTTAGACAATGAATAAGGAAGACTGTAGAAGAATTGATGCATTCAAGTTATGGTGTTGGAGAAGAAAATTACAGGTACCATGGACTGACAGAAGGACAAATAAATCTGTGTTGGAAGACGTACAATCAAATGCTCCTTAGAAGCCAGGATGGCAAGACGTCATCTCTCATAGTTTGGACATATTATCAAGAGGGATCAGTCCCTAGAGAAAATGACATCATGCTTGGAAAAGTGGAGGGTCAGTGAAGAGAAAGACCCCCAATAAAATGGATTGGCACTGTGGTAGCAGCAGTGGGCTCAAGTTTAGCAATGATTGTGAGGATGGCCCGGAACCAAGCAGTATTTCGTTCTGTTGTGCATAAGGTTGCTATGAATTAGAACCGACTCAATGGCACTTAACAATAACAACAGCAGTATCTGATCAAAAGAAGTATACATGTTCCTATGTGGGAGGAAAACAAACAAAAGAAAACTCCTTTTTTCCTGGAAAATCCAGATTGGTCTGTGTGTACCTGTGCCTGAGAGAGCTGTGTAGTCTTAACTAATCATTTGACCACTCTGAAATGGGATTTTCTCAGCTGTAGATCCAGGCATCTTTAATTGTCCTTTAACATAAGCATTCTCTGGTCAGACAGGACCAGCCACCCCAGAGCTTTAGCAATAAACATTAGTATTTTCCTTTGCAGACTTGCTAACTTCTCAGCTTTGAGGCATTCAGAACAAAGGGATGCTCATCTGAGTGGCTGTGGTGCCCAAGTAAGCAATAAAACCTCAGCAGTCAGCACAAGTCAACATTCGTTGCTGCTATGGCTAAGATTCCCCTGTGGTAAGCAGACTGCAGCAGCAGCTGAGCCAGTCCTTCCAGCCTGTCATCCCAGAGCTGCAAACACCACCCCGAATTCCCAAGTAATCACAGGGTGCTTGCTTTCAGCACTGGGAACCTTCCTGACAAATTTGACGCTGAATTTGAATTGGAGATCACAGAGATGTCGTATGCTACCTGATTCAAATAGCACTGTTGTGGGAAGAGGAAGAAACTCCTCCTCTTGTGCAGACCTGCACCAGGATAGAGCTGAAGGAGGCAAAGCTGGATGGAGTGACTTCAGACCCTCAGAGAACTGCTCATGTGACAATTGCTTGTCACATGAATTTGCATTTTGCAAATCAATTTGAGGGGAATTTGTTGATGTCTTCCCCTAGATTCCCAATCTAACAGACTACTGCCTGACCTTTAATCACTTTCTCCCTTTCTGTTATCAAAACTGGCTCTGATCCAGTGTTTATCTGCATAAACTCTTCCATACTGGGGTGAGAAGGATCCACACAGCCTTGGACCCTACATTTAATGATGTACAAAAATCTGCAAGAGAAATAAGTTTCCAATGTTGATTTTCAAGCATTTGCATGGTGGAGGTGGGATATTTGGTCAGGGTACCCTGCTGTTGCCACCCCCTCCATCCCCCCATCCCACTTCATTTCCTACGTTTGGAGAAGGTTTGGCTGTGCTGATATGTAAAGATTTGGCCAACCACACTATTGGATGTTTCAGGGTGCAGGGCTAGCCTGATCCAAATTGAAATTAGGTCAAGCTCTCGCTTTCCTTTGATTCCCAAGGCACCTGTCTTAGGTCCACTTTATTATTGTTGTTATTTTACTTTGATCTTTTTTTAAAATTGTGACTTTGTTGAAAGTGTACAGAACAAATCAGTTTTCTATCCAGCAATTTAGACACATTCTGTTTAATGATATTGGTTGCTATCTCCTCAGTGTACCTGTAATCTTCCCACTTGCCCCCTGGGTTCCTCTTTTCTGTTCATCCTCTGTCCTTCTTTCTGACTCTTTCTGCCTTCTGTGCTTTGTTTTGGGGAAAATGCTGCCCTTTTTGTCTCCTATGGTTGATTGCAATGAGGAGTACATTCCACCCTGGTGCTCTTCTTATTCACTTTTGTAGGCCTATTGTTTGGTGAACTCTGGTAGCATAGTGGTTACGAATTGGGCTGTAAACCTTAAGGCCAGCAGTTCGAAACTACCAGCCACTCCGCGGGAGAAAGATGAGGCGTTCTGCTCCCATAAAGATTACAGCCTCAGAAACCCTGTACAGGGTCGCTATGGGTCGGAACTGACTCGACGGCACTTAACAACAACAACAACATTGTTTGGTGAAAGGTGATTCCAGGTTGGGTTCAGTTCCAGAGTTGCAGGGTGTGTAAGGACGGGGGTTTTGTCATTAGGTGTGGCGCGTCATGGTACTGCACTGGACCATGAGGTCAGTTTGGATTGAAAGGTTGGAAGTTTAAACGCACCAGCTGCTCCTTAGAAACCCTATACAGGTCACTATCAGACCTATAACTTAACCCATTTTAAGAGGATTTTTAAAGAGCTCTGGTAGCATAGTGGTTATGAGTCGGGCTGGTAACCTCAAGGTCAGTAATTCGAAACTATCAGTGGTTCCTTGGGAGAAAGATGAGGCTTTCTGCTCCCGTAAAGATTTACAGCCTTGGAAACCCCACACAGGGTCGCTATGAGTCGGAACCGATGTTTTACACTTTTCTTTCTCCCGTCAAACGTATCTGTCCTGTGTCTCATACCTCAGGCCACTTTTCTCTACTGTTTACAACAAAGAGATACAACAATCTGTCAATGGGCTCCGTATCACCAGTCTCAGACAGAATATTTGTGTTTACAGTAATCTGACAATGACATACTGACCCAAAGAGAGGGTGGGAATTGCAGGAACCTGTGGTAGGTGCTGGTAGGACTGTCTCCACACATATTTGGGGATAGGTGAGTCAGGGACCCTTCAAGTCATACTATCAGGAACCAAATCCCTCCATCTTGATAGGGGATTATATAT